ATCTAGGCAAGAGATAATGTTGGCTTGAATCAAGATATTAGCTGTGGAGATGGTGGGAAGTTTTCATATGCTGCATATATTTTGAAGGTAGAGCCAGCAGGACTACTGGTGACAAATACACAGCATGTGAGGAAGAGAGGAGTCAAGTTTCTGAACAATTGAAAGGATAGAGTTGCTTTTAACTGAGATTTGGAAAACTGTACATGGAAGTATAGATTTGGAGGAAGTCTCAGGAGCTCATTTTAGGATATGTATATCTGTTAGACATGCAAATGGAGATAACAGGCATTTGGATATACAGTTTCAGAATTTGTGGGAGAGGACTGGGGATGGAGCTGTAAATATGAGGGTCCTCAAACTATACAGTTATTACTTGGAGAAAAATTAAAAAGAGAACATATCTAAGAACTCAGCCTGGGACACTCCAATATTTTAAAGTCAGAGAGAGGAAGAGGAACCAACAAAGGATATGCATAAGGAGCAGTCAGAAAGATAAGAAAACTAGGTGAGTATGGTGTTTCGGAAGCAAAGTGGAGGGAAAAAAGTGTTGTGAAAAAGTAGGAATAGTCAACTATGTCAAATCCTGCTGATGGGTAAAGAACGATTGCAATTGAGAATTGGCCGTTAGATTTAATGACATAGAAATTATTGATGACCCAGGTAAGAACAGTTTCAGTGGTGAGATGGAGGCAAGAACTCGATTGGAGTGGGTTGAGAGAATATTTAATGAATACTACTCTTATTAAATTGTAAGCTCCCTGTAGCCTGGAACTATACTTTGTTCACTGCTATAGCCTTTCACCTAACACAAATTGGGCATGTATTAGGCACTTAGTAAATACTGAATTAATGAATAAATGAGTAAAATAACATTTACCCACAAGAGTCATATCATTCTCCTACAGAGAATATGATAGAAAAGGCCATAAGCTCCTGTAACTTTGCTGCCATTAACTTAAACCAGAACTTCTACTGTTACCTTTAAGAGTAGAGCATTTTAGGTATGTTTTCATATGTCTGACTCTTCTGTTAGCTTGGCACACATGATATATAGTACAAAGCATTTCATATTAAATAAATGAACAAAATCAAGCACGAATGAATGAAATAGTGAATGAATATGCCCAGAATTAAGTATAGTACAAGTATGTGGTGATAGGTAATTATAATATAAAAATGATTACTATAATTGTATATGATACAACTATATTATATAAGATACAAAGCATAGTGGGATAGGTCTCATAAAAATATACAAAAAAGTTTTCACAGAACAAATGGCATTTGAGGCAGGCTTGGAAAAATCTTGTAGAGCTTTGATTGATGGAAATCTGCCTTGGCAGGAAGTAGAACATGTATAGGGAAGTGGTAAGGTACAAAGAAATTTAGTCTAATGCTGTTTCTTATGCTGCTATTAAGAGTAATACTACTTTAAATTTACAGTTTGTTACTGTTTACAAATCATTTTCACATATATTATTTCAACATCACACCATCTCTCTGACATAGTTCAGATAACTAGTTTATCTGTTTGACAAATGAAGATTTGAGATTCACAGAGGTTAGTTAACTGACTTGACCAAGGCATGGTATCCAGTAATTGTCAGAATCAAAACTCAGATGCATGTTTTCTGACTCCAAGTCCTTCTTGGCTTTTTCACTAATTCACAGTGGCCTTAAATGCATGAGTACAAAATTGTACTTAATTTGGTATGCAGTGGAAATCTATTGACATGGTGGAGCAGGGGAATGATGTCATCACAGTTGAGTTTTTAGGAAAATCAACTTGGTGGAAGGAAATGTTGAACCAGGTAGAAACTGAACAACTGTGAAGCATTTGCAGTATATGAAAAAAAGAATAAGAACCAAAACAAGATTCATTCAGTATGAATGGATAGAAACAGAAGACTGAGGAGACCTTGTAAAAATATCTATCACACCTACTTTTGTACCTAAGATTTTTCTACCTAAGTGACTATAATAATGGTGCTGGCAGAAAAAAGAGGCAGTTTGAGGTGATGAGTGTGGTATCTTGGGTGCAGTTAAGTTACACAGAAACAATTTGATCCTTTCAAGGCTTGCTTTTTTAAGGATCAAGTTGTTTCCGTGTAACTTAACTTGCTTTTGAGGTTTATTAAGTGGGACCAGAGCAATTTAATTTTGGAGCATAATTTTGCTCCATTACTAAAGCAATACTCTTCTGACTATTCTCCCCAATGCCTTGTTTATAACAGGTTGTGGTTTGTTTGTTTTTTCATTCTGGTTAGTGAGAAAATTAACTGTTCTTGGCATTTTATGAGCTTGGCATTTTTTCCCTCTGATCATTTGAGGTGGTTTCTGCCCCAGTTTGTATCTCGTGTGTATGTGTGATACACACACACACACACACACACACACATATACATACATACACACATATACTCTCTTTACTACTTAGCAAAGATTTGGAGGGAAACTTTGGCAGATTTCTGGAGCTTTCTCTATGCACCTCTCTCTCTGGCAGAATCTTCCAGGACCCTCTCCTGAAGATTCTAGCCACCTTAATCGCCCCAGATTTCCTACTCTACATATTTAGCTCAGGACAGCCATCAAGCTCTTTTTGGGTTCTTCCTCCCTGTCAGTGGCCTGGAACTTCTTTGCATGCATGCCCTAAATTGGGCAATTTTAGGGTTCGTTTCATTTGTTCCTCCTCTCTTAGTTATTATTCTCTGCTGCCTGATATCTAAGATGTGCAAATTGTTATTTTATGTATTTGGTCTGATTTTTAGGTGTTTAAGTTCAGTAGGTAAATATGGTTCCTGTTATTTTACCTTGATCAGAAGCAGAATTCTTCCAAAGATCTTGATATAGCTTATTACAGAGACTAGTATGGGAGAAAAGGTACTGTTAGCTAGTTGTTGAAATGATCTGAAAAAGATTCTTAATGGCAATTAGCTTTTATCTAAAGGGAATAAGGTAATATTGATGTCATGTCTTTAAAAGAGATGTTGAATAATAGCAATGAAACTAATTCTGCTGACTTTATTTTTAAATTTAAATTAAAATGAACAATTTATATTTTATTTTTTTCTACAACCTTTACTCATTACAAGTAAGCCATATACCTTTGTGCTTTTTCCTTTTCTTATTTATGATGTACCTAGAAAAATGTATCTAAATTTCTGCCTATAAAAATGATATGGTGGAGATTATTTTATTTCACATGTAGTACTTAGATTTTAATATACAGTATACTTATAAAGTTCTTGATTGGCATCTTGATAATATAAATACTCAAGTGAAATGCAAAGACAATAGGCATCTTTACTTATAAATTTGTAATTGCTAGATGCTGAAAGACTATTTAAACTAACCCTGTAGGTAGTAGAGAGGTCTTTAATAGCAGCCTGTATTAACTCACAAAGTAAAATAAAATTAGCGCTTTTTCAGATTTTTCTGTAAATTATATTTTTGACACTTGCTATTGACAAAGGAGATTTTTGCTCTACTTTTATAAATTAAGGATTATTTGTCACTTCCAAAATCTCTCAAAATTTATTGAAAATGTGTATGTGTATATATATATTTATGTATAACATATGTACTATATAAATAGCTATATATGTGTGTATGTATGTATATGTTTCAAGGTAGTAAACTTAGGAAAGTTGTCAAATTATTACTAATAATTATAATTTAGATCTTATTACTTTTAGTCTTTTATGAAGCTTTCTGTTAATTAAGTGGTAACCCAAAGCACATACTTTATTATACCTTTCATTGAGACATTTTGAACATTTAAAAAATACCATCTTATTAATTCTTAAAACTACAGTTAAGAGTACCTCAATAATTATCAGGGCTCTATTAGTGTTCTCTAGAGACACAGAACCAATAGGAGATATGTAAATATAGGTAAAGGAGATTTACTGTGAGTAATAGGCTCACACAATTATGGAGGCTGAGATATCCCACAATATACTGTTTGCAATCTGGACACCCAGGAAAGCCAGTAATATAATTCAAAGTCTAGTGGCCTTTGTAATTCTGATTCCAAAGGCCTGAGAACTAGGAGACTGGTGATATAAATATCAGTCTAAAGGCAGGGGAAGATTAGATGAAACATTCCGGCTCAAGCAGTGAGGTAGAAAAGAAGAGGCACATTCCTCCTTCCTCTACCTTTGTTTTGTTCAGGATCTCAATTGATTAGATGATACCTACCCATGCTGGGGAGGACAGTTTACTGAGTCTACTGATTCAAATGCTGATCTCATCTGGAAACACTGTGACACACACACACACACACACACACACACACACACACACCCCGTTTAACCAGATACCTACATATCTCCTGATCTAGTCAGAAATATTTTGTACAAACCTGAAAAGTAAAATATACCCTTAAAATTAGTATGCCAGTATTGCGTTTGGATTAGTAGTGATCTTGAGTGTATCCTTTGGTGAAATGAAGACATTCTGTGAATAATATTTGGCAAAAGGGTCATCTATATTAATAACATGGATAGTATCATTATATAATAGAGTATTTGTAATAACTGTAGTTACCTACATTAAAAGAAAAACCTCCAACAAATTAAATTTAACAGAATTGAGGAAAGAAAAACTCATAAATCTGCAGTCCCCAAGCCAGAAGAGGCTCCGACACTCCATTATAGCCCCATGGTAGATTTATGGACAGGAAAAGAAAAGTGACATACAGAAAACAAAAGTGAGATACAGATGCAGTAAGATTGGTTACAGCTCAGCATTTGTTACAGTCTGTTTACACATCCAGTTAGATTACAGTTCACAATGTACTGAGAAACCACTAGGCCGAACTTAAAACATGTAAGGAGGTAGCTTTAGGCTAAACTTAACACTACATTCTCTTTTACTTTAACCAGTAAAGTAGACCAAAACATAGAACTTACTTTTACCATTCAGTTTCTTGGTAATCATTCTAATTATCTCTTTTATTTCCTCTTTATCCATTCCCATACCCCTTTTTCCATTCATAGCTCTATGCCATCCCTTGGTTTCTCACCATGTTTACTCGTAAGTATCACTTTCCTCCGGATTTTTTTTTTTTTTGATATTGTATTAGTGAAAGGACAACCCAATGCCTCCCCATATTTTACAGTTACAATAATATTGAGCAGATTTAGAAAGTATTTTTATGTATTTCCAGCATAATAGAGTAGAAAATAATTTCAATCATTCTGATCCCTGAATATCAAAATGAGAATTCTATATGAGAAAAATCTATTGTACCTATCATGATATTTGTACAAACTCTGCCCCCTTTTGAAAAAAAAATATCAACTATAGTATTTACATTAAGCTTATAAGGGCAACTGTTGCAACCAAATCAGCTTGATTTTCAGAGATTCTCCAATAACTTTTATTTTTTAAAGTAGGATTCCTCTACAAGTTAAGCAGATTATGTGAATGGATAATACTTTGTTACTTAATTAAGTGGACGTCCTTACCTATAAAATATGATTTGCATGGTAACTGGAATAATATTTGAAGTAGATCTTTATGCACTGGCCTGGAAGATATCAATAGTATTGTTAATGAGAGAAAGGAAGTTACAAAAAATAGAAAGTTGTTCATAGGATTTTTGTGGGAATTTGTTAAAACAGTTGTTTAGAGAGTATAATAGATATGTCATTTTACTGTACCTAAAGCCATACTAAAGTTCATCTAGATAAATTTGTGAGAATAATACAGCTGGAAGGTTCTGGGAAGAAATATTATGAATGGTTAATAGGGTTAAAAATGTTATGTTTGGCCAGTCTGATTATCAGTTTTTTTAAGATGCCTTAGGAAGCTATAAATTTTCAGAATTTGGTTAATAGGGTTAAAAATGTTATGTTTGGGCAGTCTGATTATCAGTTTTTTAAGAGCCTTAGGAAGCTATAGATTTTCAGAGTCAAATAAACATTTCATGAAAAGAGTTTGGTAATATTAGCTCTTAAATAATAGTTTTGACCATAGGTAATAATTATAGAACTAATAAAGTAGGTTGTTATTGTTTTAATTGTTATTATTTTGGTTTTTAATTTTAATTTATTTGTATTTTTTCATTTTACAGATGTATTTCCACTACACAAAATTTTCCACCTCTGGGATACCTTACTGCTTGGGAATTCCTCTTTCCCATTCTGTATTGGAGTAGCAATTCTTCAGCAGCTGCGGGACCGGCTTTTGGCTAATGGCTTTAATGAGTGCATTCTTCTCTTCTCCGATTTACCAGGTATAGAACTAAATAAATGGAATCATTAAATGAAATTTGACTATGAACTAATGACATATTCTTAAGCCATTGGCAAAAATAGCTCTCTAGGCCTTCAGCATCTCTTCTCTTTGGGCCTCATCATCCTCTCTGGATTCTCTCTCTCATATACTGCCTCTTCTGCTGACCCAGCATTATAAATACAAAGCTGGTTCATACCAGCTCACTGTGATTTACTTCCATCTTGGTAATGCTACCAATTGGGTAAAAGGCCAGGAAGTGGGGGGCAATATCACATTTGGTCTTTTGCTTAGGACTGGGGCTGCTAATCTTTATTGATAGACAGTAAATGAAGGCCACTTGGGAAATGTTTAAGAATCTATGTTTGTACAAAGATATAATTCACATAAAACTTTGCTCCCTCCTAGCCACAGCTGCTTGCTAACAATTTGACAGTTTGACAAAAGGAAATAATGTCCTCTTGGGAGGACAAATCAAACTCCCTGAAAATTCTATGTCATGCAATGCAGGAGAGTGTGTTAAGCTGTATAGAGTATTCATAAGTAAGGAGTTTGTAAACCTGGAAGTTGAATGCTTAAATGTAGAAATATGGATAACAACTGTAGTCTAAGCTTTGATGCTATGGTTAAAAGGATGAAATTAATGTCATTACCTAGGCTGTAACTAAATCTTTATTTTTGCAGAAATTTCCATTTTATTACGTAAAAAATTCACAATACTCTATTGACTGCATCCCTTCTGCTGTTCTCTATATTTCAGGCAGGCCCAAGTTGCTGCTGATAATAAACACACTTAAAATGATCCCAGAATCAAATTTGCCTGAAAACCAATAAAAAACAAAAAGAATGTTCTTTAAGATTTTATCTTTATTAATTACTCTCAAGAAAAATAAGAAACCTACTGCTGGTTCTTTTAATATTTAATGGATGATCTGTACTTGGTATTTTACCATCTTTCTGTTGAAAATCTTATTTGTGGGAAAAGAATAAGAAAAATTACTTGAATTTATTTAAAACTTTTTCTTCCCCCTTCCTTCAAAATTAAAAATATTATCATCAGCTTTCTGACTTACCAAGTTTTAGTTAAAGTGAGTTATTTCTTAAATGAATAAATAGTTTCGGTCCTTTTTTCCTGGGAGCTTCTTTGTGAAAGTCATGTTATCTGTTTTCTTTTTTGTTTTAAACTGTAGTAAATAAGCTAGTTTTGCAAACTAGGAGTACTGTCTATATTTTGCAGATGATCTTGTCATTTCCAGCTTGCCAAAGTAAACATAGGATGATTGATTAGGATTAAAATAAATTTTCTGGCCAGTTCCAAAAATATACATATTAGGAATGCTGATTGTGTATTTTCAAATCAAGCAAATTTATTTCCTTTCAAATTGATACATAAATGCTCCTGTTAAACACTGGTGACGCAGTCTGTTTTCATATTTTTTAGGCAGATTAGTGGCAACTCTGCTTGTCTATTAAAAAACACATGCAACTCTGTATTTTATGGTTGACTGACATATTTCTATCTTAATGCCAAAGGAAAAAATATGTCTTTAAAATTGCCTGCTTTGGATTTACTTTACAGATGGTTCAAGATTAGTATAAAGTTTCTCGATTAATTCAAAACAAAGGATTTATACAACATTCTTACTAATGATTATTTAAGAGATTGTTATCTTGCTTGTTTTAGGCCTTAAAAAATGAAATTCTGGTAACTTTATCGTTTCTATTCACTGTATCATAATATCTGTCAAACCTTTTTAAGCACTCATTTTGTTCAGAGCATGCTATTCCAATATGAATGAAATCTATTTAGTTGATGAAGTGTCAGCTGTTCCAATTGGGTTTCTTTGCTTAATTTCTCTTACTTAAAATTCATCTTTCATGAAATAATTAATTTGTTTCTTTTATAAATAGGTTATCCTACATGCAAACACCCAAGATATTTCATCTTCTATTAAGTCTAAAATTCAGTCCTAACATCCCTGCTCCTAGCATCTCAGTGCATTGATGATAGGTCCTATTAAAGCACTTAATGGGATGAACAAGAATGACATTTTCCACATATTTTCCAAACTGCCTGATTATTTGTGTCTTCTTCCTTATTGTTATATTACCACCTCATTGCTGAACAAAATATTATTTATTAGTAATAGTATAAACTTCCAGTAAATGATTTCAAATGTTCACAGAGGCACAAATTTGATATTTCCAACTGATGAGCATTCTGTCTGTTAAAAGTATAGATGAATAATACTATTTTCATTTTATAGCAAGATATACAGTGAAATACAAGTATAGTCATCCCCCGGTATCCATGCAGGATTGCTTTCAGGACTTAATCCACAAATGGTCCAGTCCCTTTGCACATAACCTATGCACATCTACCTTTATACCTTAAGTCATCTCACAATAACTTTTAATGCCTAATATAATGTAAATGCTATGTAAATAGTTGTTATACTCTATTGTTTAGGGAATAATGACAAGAAAAAACATGCTCAGTGGGCACAGACATCTATTTTTATTCCCCAAATTTGTTCAATCTGTTTTGGTTAAATCCATGGATGCAGAACACACGGATATAGAGAGCTGACTGTATAAGAAAATTTTGTATTAAAAGTTTTTCATATGTTTAGACTGAATGTTTTCTGCATATATTTGGGTAAGTAGGACAAGAATCTGGTGACCTCTTAATTTATTTTCACACTTATATCCTATGTACTACAGAACTTAAGAGGATTGTTTGATCTCTTAATAAGGCTTTGAGTTTACTTGAAGTAAAACTTACTTTAGTCAGAGGTATACTGTAATTGTGAAGTTTTAGCTAAAACAAATGTTCATATTCATCTAAGCAGCAGATATATTTTTATGACGTGCTTACGTCATAAGTACTGGCAAGTAAATTGAGGTACACTACATTTATATCCAAAGTTTTAAAAGTATTTTAGAGATTTTTAAGTATATAAATGAGAAACAATCTGGGCTTTCAGTCAATAGTTTTTTATTCTCATCTAGGGATGAGTATAAATTAAATAGGGTTACTGTAATATTTATGTGTAATCTTTCAATTGTGAACAGTGGCTTAGATTTTTGAAACTGTAAGACTTCAATCAAATATGGTTTATAGCCAGTAGGCTACTAATTTGTGACCCTTTTGTTAAGTAGTTATCATGGTGATGAACACTGCAGAAAACAATAGCAGTTTAAAACAGGGATTTAGGGAGCTTTTCTTAAGTAAATGATAAGATAATATCTCAAATTATTTAAGTGACATAGCGGGGTGAGGAGTGGAAAGGGAGAAAAATCTTGTAGACAGAGGGAATAAAATACTCAAAGGCTTCGTGCTACTGCAGGAAGTTAAAGCAAAAGGGAAAGTGGAGAAGAGTGGCTAGAAAAGTGAATGGAAAGGTAGACAAAGAAGGATCATGCAGGATCGTGTAGTCTGCATTAAAGATATTTAAAAATATAATTGTAGAAATATTTTTTCAATATTTTTAAAGTAAAGAAAAAAGTGTCATTGAAAATAATATCAGATACCAAAATACAAATGCTAGAATTGATATTAATATTTGTAGAGCTTTCTGGTCTCTCTACATTTTTTTGCCAAGGAGATCTGTCATGAGTAAAGCAAAAGAATCTTAACATAAGTGCTCCTAATAGTTATCTATCATTTTTTCCCCTGCTCATAGGCAGATATGGTATTAAAAAATGATTTGTGAAAGAGTAGAGTAACTGTAGCGCACAATTGTTCAGTGAAAAGTTTTGAATTGTCAAGCCTGTAAGATTGATCCCACTTTACCTGAAGCTGAAAATTAATTATTCTCATTTTCTGCTTGTAGCTACATAATTTTCATGCATGTCTATTTCTAAGTACTCCTTGTGATTGCAAAAGGACAATCAAAATGGGAATTAAATTTGGAGATTTTAGCATTGGTCTTCCTCTCCCCCACCCATCCATAAAAATTACATATAAACATTAAAATCTAGATGGCATATTAAAGTCTTGTGAGTTTAAAATTAGTTAAGGATAAATGAGAAAGTAGTTAATTTGTTTATATTGTCATGGTGTATAGTCACTGAAATAAAACTTTATGAAAAATTTAAAAAACTAAAAAAATTTAAAAATTAAAAAAAACCTCAGATTATGTCAGTCTTATATGCAGTGGAAATACTGCATTATTTTATGGAAAGGGGGGAATATTTAAAAACAAATGTTACACTGTATCATCTCCAAGCTAATAAATAGTCATGAAGACAACAGCCTGTAGCACGACTGATGAAGACTCTGAAATTATAATGTAATTCCAGGAAGCTAGAAGAATTCACTTAATACTGACCTAATTGTTGCTCTTGAAGCATACAACTAATTTTGCAACATGTAAATGTTTTATAAAGTTTAAAAGAAATGTTTTGTACATGTTGGGAACTGTAATGAAAAATAATTTTAGAGGTGATCAGGATTTCTAATTACCTTGAAAATTTAGAGTAGATCTGAATACTTCAACATCTTAAACCTGGTCCCAAATTATCAAGAATCTGATACAAAGGCTTTTCGCTATACCAGAGCTGCTTGTTTTATGGTTGATAAAGGTTCCTGCTTTCTGAATTTTTTGAGCAGTCCAAAATTTATCTTATAATTTAGATCAGTCTTATTAAGCATATTTTGTTTCAAGATAACAATGATGCCATTGCATTTATAGTTGTTTTACTATTGAATGTTTATATGTGCCTTAGATTTGCAAAACAAAATATATAGAGATCTTTTCTTTTCTTCTGTCTTTTTGTTTTTTGAGACAGAGTCTCACTCTGTTGCCAAGGCTGTAGTGCAGTGGCGCAATCTGGTCTCACTGCAACCTCTGTCTCCTAGGTTCAAGGCAATTCTCCTGCCTCAGTCTCCCCAAGTAGCTGGGGCTACAGGTGCACACCACCACGCACAGCTAATTTTTTGTATTTTTAGTAGAGACAGGGTTTCACCATGTTGGCCAAGATGGTCTAGATCTCTTG